ACCTGGCAGCAGCCATTAGGCCGTCTGCCATGTTGGCACTGTGTGGGCAGGAACAGCAGATGCTCCTGCCTAACTATGCTCTGTTAAAATACCCACACATAATTTAGTTTAACACAACGCAGGGAGACGTGTTTTGTTGTGTCAAATTTAATCGGAGAAACAGTGCATCAATAGATTGTAATGATTTGAATGATGCATTTGAATGATTGTAAATCGCACAACAACAGAGGCCAGCCAAGAGCCTGTTGATAAGTTTAGTTAGACACTCAATCATTGTGAACTGACCTAGTGATCTAATTCAAATGAGACCAATAACTGCTCTCCTCTCAGATGGAGTGAATTATGAAGAGTCACTGATAAGCTTGTTTGATCTTGGCATGCCAAAGCCACAATAAAGGAAACAAAGGCTTTTGGAGCTGAGGCTTTGCAGTAACCACAGTTATGATGTGCGTGTGTGTGTGTGTGTGTGTACGCACATATAAATCTGTGTGTATGACAGAGAAAGACATATCCACACACAGCTGCACTGGTCAATTCTGAATATATGACACAGACGTGTCAGGTAGTTCATATTTGCATTAAGGTTTATACTCTCATCTGATGCAATAAAGCACATTTCATAAGGTGCACTATACTGTTCGTGTAACGTGTTCTGACATTTGTAACTATGTTTTTATCCTGTTTTAGTTTTATTTTTTATTCAGTTATACTTTTAAATTCTTCTTCTAGTCTTATTATTTTACCATTTTTAGTTTATTCTTGTTTTACTATTAAAATTAAGTTCTAATGAAAATGTATTATTATTATTATTATCATTATTATTATTATTATTAAAAGTACTGAAAGAGACTTACTCTCTTGTCTTTCATGACTTCTGATAATTCAAAGTCAGTGACCATCATCAGGGCAAACAACTACCATCAAATGAGGATTAGTTATCTAATGTTAGAAATGTCTAAATATAAGACATTAAAAATACTCTCATTTGCATAATGACTTGTATGTGACATGTTTTTTTCCACAAAAAAAAAAATTTCAATTACCTGGTTCATCATATCTACCCCTTCCTCCTGATTGAAAAATCCAGAAACTATGAAAATTTAAATATTTTTCATCTCAAAAGTTTAACTACTGGACATGAGAAGTCTGCTACTTCACTGACACGTCCTTTCTCAGTGAAGTGTAAACGTATATGTGCTCGTTCAAATTTCACATAACACTTGTGTATTTCGTATATTCGGTCCACAACTGGTTTCACATCCTCAGCTCAGATTTAAGGAGGCGGACTTTAAAATATTTTCATGAGATAACGTGTAAATATTATTCTCCAGTGGCTATTCAAATGTTTGATACTCATTGTTTCAGTATTTTAATTATGACAAACTGTGGTCATTTTGCCGCTAAGACAGTTTTCAATCATTTTCTTTCTAAAAAAAAAATTAAAACCTCAGCTACTTTACATCCATTTGATACGACATAGTATGATACTGGATCGTGGGTAATCTTGTGTGGCTGACTCATTGATGGTAACTTTCCTTTGCTGAGCACCGTTCCCTGTATCGCTCGGTCTGTCTGCTCACTCCACTGTGGTCTGATATGACCCCCTGACTGCTACTTACAAAAACAAAGGACTTAATGTGATTTTGAATGAAAAAAGGAAAGAAAAAAATCCACATGGTCAGCATAATTTAATGAGACAGAGTGTGAAAGGAACTAAGTGGATAACCAAATGCAGAGTGGGCTTGTGGGTGGGTGGTGGATGAAGTCAGTGATATTTCAGCATCCCTCGGTGGTTAGCCTGCTGACAGGGAGGGGAAAAAAACTGGAGAGTGAGAGACAGTGAGGGAGGTGGTGTGTGTGTGGGGGGTGAGTGGGTGGGACGGCCGCTGTGCCAGAAATTAAACCGGCACCACCGGATTCAACTGTAGTATATGTACAGCATATGGAGAGATAAGAGAGAGAAAGAAGGGAAGGACAAAAGCAGTGCCATTATCTGAATATCAGTCCCCCAGCCTGTTTGGACAGGCAGGATTTGCATGTTGGGTTTTCAGTCGGAGCCCCTGGCCAGGGTGGGGTAGAGTGGGGTGGGGCGGGTGGAAATAGTCATCTTCGTGGTGTTCTGGGTGTGGCTGCTCTGGGAACAGGACTTCTCTCAACAGGGGTCTCTCAGCACAGGTCACACATCTGACCTCAGGACACAAGATCACGCTGCGTTCACGCACCAATGTCAGGTTCATAACCACAAAGAACAAAATACCTGCGACGCCAACAGAAACTACTGTAGTGTTTGTACAGTGTTTGATATGTGACGTGTGTGTGAGACTAAACCAACAAAACTCGATTTTAATTATCTCATAATTTTATAATAAATTATTTCATAGCGAGTTACTTATATTTAGGTCATAGAAAACATATTGTATAAGAACCTTTTTTTTTTTCAAATGGTAGAATGACTTTGCAAGAAAATACATTATTCATCAAATTATGTTTCACATTACTATCGTTTACTGACACTAGCACAAATACTATTTTAAGGTAGCTGTATTTAAATACGGCTTCAATTAGCCACAAGAGCATAAGTGTAGCTATAATTCACAACTCACAGCAAAGGATTAATGTGGAATCTGAAATGGAGCTGATGTCAGTATGGAGAGCGCAAATCAGTAATGTGATAACCGTTTGGATGTGAAACACTAGACGGGGAAATCGGAGTTGTGATGGACTCAGTATCCTCCTTGTCCCTCTTTCTCGGCTGACATGTGAGATTCTTTGGAGGCCTGTGGGTCAACACTGGCCCAGTGTGGGCAAGACTTATCACATAATGAACAGAACACCAATCCTCTTTTTAAGAGACTTTATTTATAGTGAAAGCAGAAAAAAAAACAGTGCGTAGACATTTAAAATAACCCAGTTACAGACATCTATTAGACAAGAAATACAGGCACTTACTTACACATAGAAATATAAACAGAATTTCTAGACAAACATGCACACACATTCAGACAGGCATGCCAAAAGGGGGCTCCCTTATGGAACAGGACATCCTGAAACTGCCAAGAAAAACACTCTCTAAGCCAGCGAGCCATTCCAGTGTTATCCAATGATTTTGCTTTTATGACCAGGAAAAAGTTTTACACTTTTGCTCTATTCTAGAAAAAAAGAAGAAGAAGAAGAATCTAAAATAAAACTGAGGCTTTGCGGCAAAAGTATCCACTGGTCAAGCAATGATTTTCAGCTTTGTATAATTACCAATTTGTGGCCCTTAGAAAAACACCCCCTCAAGAGAGTTGTTCCAATAAAATGCAGCCTCCTACAAAAAAAAGTGCGTATTGAGCAACAGAAGAAAGTTCTTAGTAAAAAGAGAAGAGGGAAGTGTAAAAGGGAAGGGGAGAGCTGGGTGAGCACTGTGTGTACCATACTAGGACTGGGTGTCACAATGTGATGTGTTGCAATAAGGTGTGTACTGTCTGGATTCTCTGGAAATTCAAGAGGACAGAGCCAACTTGCAAGCACACACACACACACACACACACACACACACACACACACACACACACACATATATATACAGAAGTACACTATTGACATCACTACATCTGCATTTGCAAACATGTGAAAACACAGTTCCCCACATAAAACCACATAAAAACCCTCACAGACGTCAGCATGGAGGAAATAAACAATAGACCCATGTCTCCGACGTTTCACAAGCGGTTGGGATAAAGGGAAGTGACATCGCAGCACACACCTCTAAATGGGAACTGATGCTAACTGAGACAATGACAGTAACAGAAGGAGGACAAAACAGGATGCTGGTCAGATGAAAGAGCCCGAAATGTCAGACAGCCTACAGACTGTTGTCGCCTTGCAATCTTAACAGCCAACACCAGTCTGATAAGCTATCTGACAGGCCGAGAGAGTGACGGACATGCCTGAGACGAATGCATGTACAGAAACGACAACAATGAAAAAAAGAAAGAAAAAAAAAAAAGAAGAAAAAAAAAAAAAAAAAGAATCCTAATCCTACTTACCGTGACAGGAGAAAAGAGGAGATGTGAATGTTCTGACTAGAGCTGGTGCAGAGCGCAGGGTTCAGCTCGCTCAACAGTACCCCTCTGTTTTGAATCTACTCGAGTGATTCGTCTCCTGGCTCCGTGACTAGGGCAGTGCAACGAGTTCATTCGAAGGTTCAGCTGAGGTAACGGCACAGACGCTTTTCACTGTGCGCTTGAGGGTTTTTTTTTTCCCCCTCCTGCTTGTGCCTGCTCTAGCGCCCACTGCGCTCAGTCCAGCGTAGCACAGCAGCGGTACAGAGAGGGAGAAGAAAATAGCACATTTCACTGGCAATTATGGAAAAAAAGAAGGTACTGCATATATTGAGAGCCAGCTGACGTTATCCAGCGAACAAAAAAAGGGGCAAGAAAAACCAGCGAGTTTTGTTTTAGAAGCTGCTCATGTAATGTCAAACATGAGCTTTCTGTCCTCAAAAAGGATAAAAAAAAAAAAAAAGCTCAGTGGCAAGTGAAGACAAAGAAAAACACTTACCACGACACAGACTGTCTCTTAGTTAAAGAGAACAGCTACGATCTGCCACACTAAGACTTCCAGGCAGAGTCCTGCTCTATTAGTGGAGCACAATCTACTCTAATCCATAAAAGATAAAGAGAGAGCAACAAATGTGGCAGCCACGCAAACGCAACCTACTATCTCTGTCTCGCTCTCTGTCTCTCTCACTCACTCACACACACACACACACACACACAGTCGTAGATCTGATTCAGTATATGGCTGCATCTGGTAAAGTAGCCCCAGGCTGACTCATGTGCTCTCTTCCTGGAAGCAGAACAATAAGGGCAGACAAAGGGACCAGCAGGGTGATTCATGGCCGATTTCTCATTTCTCATCCAAAACTACCAAAATCAGCTTTACTACACACACGACACTGACGCACACAACTTACTTACTTCTTCACAATATGTAGAAATGAGGTGACTCTGAAGAGGACACAATTATTTACAGTCTATTTACTTGTCTTATCTAACCACAACCCAATACTGCACGGCAACTCTTAATAAATACAGAATATCTTATCATTAAACTTGTAAATATAAATTATAAATAAAGAGATTATTGGACAAATATCGTGCTGGTTTTACAGAACACTCACCACTTAATCAAAAGTAACCATCCTAGCTTATTCAAATAAAGTGAATTCAAGTGAGTTTATGGAGACATAAGTCTTGAAGGTTCCTCTAGTGGAGCGAACAGTGCAGCTTAAGGCCTCACTGAGGAGAATTATTACCAGCAGTTTCTTCTCACGTGCTCTGGAGCTGCTAAAAGCACCAACTGGGACACTTTAACAACACAACAGCTTAAAGACACTCATACGTAACCCAACAAGCACCTACCTTACACACAACAATCGCGGAAATCACTACCAAATGCAAAGCCTTAAAAAGCAAGTAAATGGGAGTCCAAGTTCAACATCAACATGTTGCTACAATAACAAGAGAGAAACCAGATGGGGGCAGATATATTGCTTCAGATAATGGCGTGGTATCAGCCAGGAGGCAGAGCGGACATGAAGAAAGGAGCGGTGGTAGCTTCTGAAGTTGATGCTTTGCCGTGATCGCAAAGCTGGCCTTCACTCCGTCTTGTCCTCCGAGTGCTTCTCCTGCTGCTTGCGCTTGGCATAGCTCTGGGCCATAGAGTTGACAATGGAGCAGACAAAGAAGCATACCATGATGACCACAACCTTCTCAAAGAGCCACGACAGCCAGTTCTCCTCCTGCCAGGAACCACAGAAAGAACAGAGAGAGAGAGAGAGAGAGAGAGAGAGAGAGAGAGAGAGAGAGAGAGAGAAGACAGAGAGAGAGAGAGAGAGAGAAGAGCTTGGTCAGAAAACTGAGGGCCACCCCCTCCCCTTCACCCCACACCCTACTCTCCCCTCTGCTTCTGATGCTGTAGGCTAGGTGGGGATCCAGCTCCATGTGCTGGACAGATAGAGATCAGGGGTAATAAAACACGCGGCAGCCCCCACCGTCCTCCCTCCAAACGCCCCCACTGACCCCAGCCTGCAGCCTGCCTCCACCAAGTTAAATTGGCTTGCTTCTCTCCTGTAACTGCAGGAGGCTCAAGTTACAAGAAAAAAGGAACATTGTTCTAGAAATGCCTTAATCTGTCCTTGTGCAACTCAAAGTCTATCCTTTTTTTCTTCTCCCTCCTAGTAAGCGCATAAAAAAAGAAAAATCGCTTTCAATGAATCACTTAAAGCAAAGAGAGAAAGAGGGAGTGAGGAACAGAGAGGAGCGAAAAAAGCTTTGAAAGAGAAATAGGCTACAGCTACAACTGGCTCTTTTTGTTCTAGACAGGGGGGTTTTGATGGATTGTCACTGGCGGAGGGGGGGCCCCCGCCCCGGTCTACAGTCAGTGCTGGGTTCAGGCGGAGCACTGAGTGCAAGTGTGTGTGTGTGTGTGAGAGACACACAGGGGAGTGACTACATTCACACACACACTCCCAATTGGTAAGAAGGAGCATGAGTCAGCACGCCCCGCGCTACAGTAGTACAGTTCAATACAGCGAGTGGAGCCAGACCCCACACTGGCCCCTCTCCTCCTCCCCTCTTTCTCCTCCCTCCCCTCCAGCCCGCCCAGTGCAGCGCTATCCTACACTGTCACCCTGGCCCTAAACAAGCCTCTGTAACCTAATGTATCTCTACAGGTTATAGCCAAATCTACAACATCAACACTTCTCTCATAAACATTAAATCATGTTTTAAAAATATAAAAGAAACTGATTAAAAATCTGAGGTGAAAGCAGAAGGTGCAGGTAAAGAGGGTGGAAACAGAATTAATTGTGCTCATGAGAGAAAATGGGTCAGTGATATAAAGGACGGCTCAGATAAAGAGAAGAAAGGGACACAAAAAAAAAAGTGGAGGGAGAAGGAGTGAAAGAGGCAAAAGTAAGGGGGCCGCATTCTTTTCTTGGCGCGCACACGTGAATGAATAGAGGCTGTGAACTGGGGACTGAGGCCCCTGTACTTACAGTTGGGATCCCCTCTCCGGCACGATGGTGCAGCTTGGCCTTCTGGGCCTCCAAGTACTCCCTGAAGGGCTTCTGCAGTGCCGCACCCAGCAGTGGAACAGCTCTGCCTCCACCAACACAGAGAGAGGGTGGGTGGTGGTGGTGGTGGTGGTGGTGGGGGGGAGGAAAAGGAGGGAAAAGAGGGAGGGAAGGAAGAAGAGAGAAAAAGAGAGGAGGGGAGGGGAGGGTGAGGAGGGGGGGGCATGGAGGAAGAACGGGAGAGGGAGGGGTGAGGGTGGTGGGGGGCACAAATCACGTCACATCATTGTTACTCACCAGCCCAAGGGCAGCAACAAAGGGAGGCATGCTGTCCTATCTCCTGTACTGTGTCGGTCTCCCCTGCTTCCTCTCTCCGAGAAGAGAGAAAGACGGAGAGAGCAACGAGTGCGATCCCTTCACTGTTCATCATCCCCACAAACACCCACACACACACATCCACACACACACACACACACACACATACACACACAAACACATACAGGAAAAAAAAAAAAAAGTACAGACTGTACCACAGCCGCAGAAAACAGTGCTGCTCAAAAATAAACGTAAAAAGAAAAATTAAATTAAAAAAAAAAAGAAAAAAAAAAAAAAGAATAAAAGCAGAAATAAAGTTGGCTGGTCCTCATACGGCAGCCGCTGCATCAGTAGTCACCCACATTCTCCCGCTCTGCTCTGCTCTGCTCTGCTCTCCTCTCTCACACCCATACTCGGCTTCCTCTCCCTCTCACACACACACACACACATCGGTGAACTCGTTCAACTCCCCTGCAGTGCCTCCTCTGCCGCTGCAGCGAGGAGAAATGAATGACTTCTCAGAACTCTCACATTTATCACAGGCGGTTCCTGTAAGAACTGGTTTCAGCCAATTAATGAGGAAGTGAGTCGTACCCAAGCTGTGTCATCACTGGCTGAGACCTGGGGGGGATGGCCCACAGGGGGAGGGTGCTCCTGTAAGACGGCCCATATTAGGAAACCCTTTACAAGATTTAGCCACCAACTACAAGCACACTACTGAACCCCCCCCCCCCCCTTCCCCAACTCCCTCCCCCCTCCTCTCTTACACACACACACACACACTCAAAGAAAAAAAAAAAGAAAAAGACGCGAGAGACTGCAGAGAATGCCCTAGAATAGCGAATCAGTGGCCCATCCCTGGGCTGGAGTTAGTGATTAATCACTAAACAAATACATACTAAAGACCTTCACTTATTCTCTTTTGTGGCTGTACACAGTCAATTACATCCCCTCAGCTATTGTTTCAAAGCATTCTCTGTGCTCCACTTTTACGTCTTTTGTTCGTGTTGGTGAGGCATCATCAAAGCTCAGAGACACATCAAGAGATTTTGGGGCAGGTTTGCGTGGGCAGCCATGTCACATACGGTTGAGTTTAGAGTTGATAACTTTCTCTGAAGGAGGCAAGTCATTTCCGTCCCTCCCCACCTCCACACACACAGATACATGTGCACACACCTATGTTGTGGCGAGGAAAAAAAAACACATTGTGTTAAACGATTGAGTTTACAACAAGGAAGCCTTTAAGTAATGATTAACTTTGTACCAGGTAATGATATCTTACATGTGAAAGGCCGACAGGAAGTGTGACAGATGGATCACGCTTTAAATTACACAATAGAAATGGTCAGTGACACACAGTATCAAAAATCAAGCTAGGATTTTTTTTTTTTTGGAGGGAAACAACGCCTCTACTATTCCCATCCCCCACTTCACAAAATTCCTCTCATCTGCACACCTCAGAAACTTACCAAACTAATTTAAAATACATAACCTGAATTCAAAAGCCGAATGCCGGTTTGCACGTGAAGAAGGAATATTTGAAAACACTTGAGAAACACTCCAGTTCAGCAGATAAAAGTGAACAGGCAAGAACAAAGAGTGAGGGAAACTGTTTTCAGAAATGGCGGGCAAATCATCTCCTACACGATGAGCAATACTGAGTCATGAGCCTGGGCAAATCCACCAACAAAGAAGCTCAAAGCTAGCAGTCTAAAACACGTTTTTAATGCCTCACAGTCAGGACTGTGTCGTGGTCTTTCCATTAAAGAAACTGATGATTTTGTGCTTTTTGGGATTATATTTTCACTTTCTGCAGAACATGTTGTGAAACTGTTGGATTTGAAAATTTCTACTGTAAGTGTGTTTATACTTTACCCTTCAGAACCTGTGCTGAGCATCTTTCTGTGTGTGTGAGGGAAGTTCAGAAGATTATATGTATTAGTCTGAGGTAAAATTTACTTTCTGCTAGCTGGAATTAAATGAGAAATTTGTGTAGCTTGTGAATGCATGAAATATATGTGATAAATAGTGTTGTGTTGTACAGAAACTGTTGTAAAAGTTGATCTCAGTTTTCAGTCAAAGTTTGGAAATTTAAAAGAGTAATTTCTGAGTTGAACTTGTAAGGACGGGAACAGCTAGAAGCTGCAATTTATAACAACCATAAGATGTAATTTGGCAAACAACAAGCCTGAACTATTTACTCAGCAGCTACTGAACAAACTTTAACAACTGGTTTGTTAAAATCCTCTCAGTGAGAGTAAAAGAAAACTCCTCACTTGTATCTTTTTTTACCAAGTGAAGCTCTGAAACTCTGTGGCCTTCAGAAACAGGGAAATAAATCAGTTTGCACAAAACTATTAATAGCACTTTTTAAAAAGTCAGACTTTTCACTCTTAAAGCTCTTGACAAATTTCTATATAAACTATAAAGGCTTGTTTATAACAAAAAGTGATAAAGCTTCAATTTACGGAAAACATTATTTGATAAAAATCACTACAATAGTCCCGTAGAACAACATGTATATTAGTTCTAATGATTTAATTTAATGTATGAAATGCAACTACTACTCATGATGAAATTAAAGATTATAGATTCATGTGTCCAATTTTATTTAATCAGCCGAACAGCTGTAACACAAATGTGGCTAAAATAACATTCAATTTATAGTTTTTGTCTTCAGTTTTTCTTGTTGTCTAATGTGGCAGCAAAGGAGAGGAAGCAACAATGAGTTTTACATGAATTATTGCTGTGAAGAATTAAAATGAGAAATTCCTATGTGTTTGGTATGATAATCTTCTTTTGTGTAGGTTTGTATCCAAAAATAGAAATGGACATAATAAATTTAAAGTCAAGCAGTTTATCTGAACATATCTATAAAATGTAACTCTTCTCAATTTCTTCCTTTAAAGAGAAAAAAAAATATGGGATAGTTAAAAAGGATAATAATAACAATACTGAAAAGTCTTAAAATTGAGGTTGTTTTACAACCATAAAACCCTGCATGTGTGGATCCTACTTTACAACTTTATAACAGTTGTTCTCCAATTGATTAAATTACTTCCAGAAGTTGAGCAAAAAGCTAAGGGGCTTCACTTACTTGGGTTATAAAAATGATTCCCAGTATATATATGTGACTAATTATCCCCACTGTAAGTATATCCTATATAACTGCAGGTATTCGTAAACATAAGCAGCGTGGCTGATAAATACTTTATGAATCAACATCAAATACGTGACATGTGGGCTTTGAAATATTAAGAGCAAATGATTGTAGCTCCATCAGGTGATTTTCATTTAGTCACTAAATTGAATCAATAAGTAAGAAAAAAATTATCAAATATTAGAGACCAAAAGTAAATCTCTCAGAGATTTATTAGAGGCAGCAAGGACACTTTTATTTCTTAATGAAT